AACTCTCAAGTACTCCAAAATGTAGGACATTTTATTATCATGAACATAATGAAAACTGAGTCTTCTTTCCACGTCAGACCCAAATCTGTCCTTCCAGGGGTCACCAACCCCAGTGATGGTTTCTTTTGTGTCCAGGGTTGTTCAAGCACAGGCCTTCCTCCTTCAAGGAAGCTTCCTCCTTTACGGAGGCTCCTGGGATGGAACCTCACTTTTTTTGAGAGCCTTGGAGTTCTTTGGTTTGAGGAGACACAGAGACTTGGTGTTTTGAAGGAACCGGGATAAACGTTGGGCTGAGGATGGAGCAGTCTGGACGGGCCTTTAGGAATCCTCCTCGTTGACAGATGAAGGAGCTGAAGTGCATAGTAGAAAAATTGCTAAGTTACACTCAAAGCCTTAAAAGCCAGGACAGGGCCGGCCCGTGGCTCACTCGGGAGAGTGCGGTGCTGATAACACCAAGGCCACGGGTTAAGATCCCATATAGGGATGGCCAATTGCTCACTTGGGAGAGTGTGGTGCTGACAACACCAAGTCAAGGGTTAAGATCCCCGTACCGGTCATCTTTATTTAAAAAAAAAAAAAAAAGCCAGGGCAACTTGATGCCCATAGCCAAAGGGCATTGTCCCTTTGAGGGACTAGGAGATACCTGGGGCATTACAGGTGATGGGGTGTCAGGTGTGAGTCTCTGGTCTCACCTGGCTCTTGTCTTTCTTTCTCAGTTCATCTCAAAGAAGGACCCGGAGGATGTCAAAGAGGTGAGGCTCCTTGGAGAAAGAGGGACCTTTCCCCAATTCCAGATCTGGACACAGCAAGGGAGCAGCTGGGGACTTGTGTGGAGGCTGGCCCTCCCTCCTCCCTGGCGCTGGGCAGGGGGTGCTGCGCCCCAACCCTCACACTGCCTGGGGCCACACTGGTTGGGGGGAAGGCCGCTTCCACCTGCGCTGGTCCAGCTGCAGTCTCACGCCCTCACAGGTGGTGGTGTGGAAGCGGTACAGCGACTTCCGCAAGCTGCACGGAGACCTGGCCTACACCCACCGCAACCTCTTCCGCCGCCTCGAGGAGTTCCCCGCGTTCCCCCGCGCCCAGGTGTTTGGTGAGTGTTAGGTCTGGACACTCAGGGCAAACGTGGAGGGAGAGATGGGCAGAGGGGAGCTGTGCTGGTGGGGGCTGGAAAGAGGGCCTGAATCTCTGGGCAAAAATATGGTTGGAGAGCTGGACGGGCCATTAGAGGTGGCCTCATTTGACAGATGGGGAAACTGAGGTTCAGAGCAGGCTAGTCTTTACTGTATATAACGGACCTTTAACAATCCCATCTTTTTTTTTTTTTTTTTTTTTTAAAGATGACCGGTAAGGGGATCTTAACCCTTGACTTGGTTCGGCCATCCCTATATAGGATCCGAACCCGTGGCCTTGGTGTTATCAGCACCGCACTCGCCCGAGTGAGCCACGGGCTGGCCCAACATTCCCATCTTTTAAGGGCCAGCCCGTGGCTAACTTGGGAGAGTGTGGTGCTGATAACACCAAGGCCACGGGTTCGGATCCCCTTACCAGTCATCTTTATAAGGAAAAAAAAAAAAGAAATTCCCATCTTTTTTTTTTTTTTGGCAGCTGGCCAGTACAGGGATTGAACCCTGAACCTTGGTGTTATCAACACCACACTCTAACCAACTGAGCTAACCGGCCAGCCCTCTTTTTCCTTTAAAAAAAAAAAAAAATCCCCCCTTTTTTTTTTTTTTGGCAGCTGGCCAGTACAGGGATTGAACCCTGGACCTTGGTGTTATCAACACCACACTCTAACCAACTGAGCTAACCGGCCAGCCCTCTTTTTCCTCTTTTTAAAAATGTGGCTACTAGAGAATTTGAAATTGCATCATGGCTCATATTATATCTTTTTTGGACAGTACTGATCTGTTATTGGGTCTCCAGACTCACGTGAAATGTTCTTTCTCAGAAAGGTGAAGGGTTGCTGCTGGCAGGTTTTGCCAAGACAGTGGCAAGTACAGCAGGATACTCCCCCTGGCTCCACGATAACGAGGCCAGAGTTAGATAACTCTGCATAATACCTAGAACAGAGCAATGAAACTGTAGAAAGGGTAGCTTGCTGTGTGACCTCAGGCAAGTCACTTCCCCTCTCTGAGCCTTACTTTTCTCCTCTTTACATGAAAGCCATCTAAAATGATCTTGTTTCTTGTTGATTACCTGCCTCCCCATGTCTAGGATGATATCAGGAGGGCAGAGATCTTGTTTCCTTCCCATTCACCTTCTGAACCTAGCCCATAGCAGGTGCTTAGTAAATATCTGGCAAGTGAATGAATAGGGAGATCGATCCCTCCTTGTAACCAGCCCCCCAGGAGGAGCCAGGGATGATCGCTGGGAGAATGGGGAGGACGGCAGTGGGTTGCTTAGTGCCTCCCAGGCAGAACCAGGAAAGGGGGCTTTGAGGCCAGAGCCTCTGTGGGTCACTGCCACTCTACTTGCTCCTTGTCCTGGGGTCTGCAGGCCGGTTCGAAGCTTCAGTGATTGAGGAACGGCGCAAGGGGGCAGAGGACTTGCTTCGCTTCACTGTGCACATCCCTGCACTCAACAACAGCCCCCAACTGAAGGAGTTCTTCCGGGTATGTGCACCTGCTCCTCCCACCTCTCCAGCACCTGGGAAACTTACCTGCTGGCCAAGCTTCACCCCATGAACCACCCCCTGGTCTTTCTCTCTTGCAGGGTGGGGAGGTGACACAGCTTTCTGAGGTAGCCAGAGACCTGCACATCCTGCCACCCCCTCTAATCCCCACACCGCCCCCTGATGAGCCCTGGCTGCCCCAGCCACTCCCTGCAGAGAGGAAGGGCCTTGAGGAGCTGGAGGTGCCAGGTACACAGGGGTAGGGGGAGGGAGCCAGGGCTGGAGAGTCTGGAGTGGGGAAGGTGGGGGTCCCTATGCCTTCCTCAGTGATCTTAGTGAAAAACCTGGGGTGTGTCCCAGCTCTACCACTTACTGCTGAGGAACTTTGGACAGGTCATTTTCCTTCTCTGGGATACAGTTTCTGTAAAATGGGCACAAACTCTAATAATGGGCTTATCCATGCCCATGGTTGCTGAAAGGACTTAGTGAGAGAATAATTCCATTTTGCAAGGTAGGAAATAGTTAAGTGGTAATATCTCCGATGATCTCTTTCTCAGCGGACCACCCACCATCCAGCCCTGCCCAGGAGGCCCTGGATCTCCTCTTTAACTGTGAGAGCACTGAGGAGGCATCCAGTTCCCCTGCCCGAGGCCCCCTCACTGAGGCTGAGCTTGCCCTCTTTGACCCCTTCTCTAAGGAAGGTAAGCAGCTGGGGAGGCAGAGTTGATGGGGGGACTGGGGCAAGAGGTCTCAGGGGCAGGGAGGAAGGCAGAGCCACTGACCAGCCCTCATGATGCCTGTGCAAATCCAAGACAGGCATCCCCTCAGCAACGCTGCCCTGCAGGCAAATGGCAGCCTCAGTGAGGTGCCCCTTCCCCAGGTACCACAGCCCCGTGCCAGGGCTTGGTGAGTTGGATACCCCTGTACAATGAGCAACCACAGAGGAAGGAAACGAGCCATTTCCCACCATGGGGTCCTCTCCCTAAGAAAGCTTTGGAAGGAGCAGGGTCACACTGCCCTGTGAGGTTTGAGTTCCTTCACTTGGAAGCCTGAGGTGGGACTATCTGGCTGGCTTGGGGTCTGGCTGTGGATCCTACAGGCAGGAGAGGACTGTTGGTCAGTGGGGGTGAGGTCTGGGCTCATAGAGCAGCAGCAAAGGGAAGCCCTGCTGGGGGCTGGAGCAGCTGCCGGAGCGTGGGGAGTTGAGGCAGAAGGGCTCCCCAGTGCAGGTCAGGGTCCTGAGCACCTTCTTGCTCTGAGAGTTGAGACACTAGAGTTTTTCATTCTAAAATTCTCCAAGTTTATGCTGTTACTGCAGTTTGGGTGTCACGTGGCCTATCTCACTTGGGATAGTCATGAGACAGCTTCATTTTTGATTCCTCAACAGTGTTTTTAAGCCCGTTTTGTTGGCTTCCCTTCTTAGCCCTTTGGCATCCTCCTGGGCAGACCCTTAGCTTTTTTTTTTTTTTTTTAAGATGACCGGTAAGGGGATCTTAACCGTTGACTTGGTGTTGTCAGCACCATGCTCACCCAGTGAGCAAACCGGCCATCCGTATATGGGATCGGAACCCGGGGCCTTGGTGTTATCAGCACCGCACTCTCCCGAGTGAGCCACGGGCTGGCCCAGACCCTTAGCTTTCTGGTTGGTTTCAGGCAGTTGAGCTCTGCCCTGAGGTGTGAAGAGGTCTGCTCAGTCCCCATCAATGCATCAGTCTCCTGTCCAGTTTTTGGCCTCCCCTCTGCTGGGTTCAGGCCTGACTAGTGGCCATGATGCCAAGGGTGTGAGGTGTGTCCTTTTACTTTTCTTATTCTGCTCCCTCCCCTCCCTGCTCCTGCCCCTGCAGGCCTGGGTAGGGGGAAGAGGGGATTGGAGGGGAAAGACAGAGGCGGTGTCACTGGGGATGTCGTACCTGGCGTCTGAGTGGCAGGCAGGCATCCACATACTCTGCCCTTGCCTGAGCTGAGCCCCCTGGGGTACTGGGTGGGCAGCAGCTTTTCAAGACCCCTCACATGTGGCTCCCATGAGACATTCACTCGGCCTGTAGGAAAACTGCTAAATCCTTGGTCCCCCAAGGCTGGAAGTGCAGTTTGCTCAGACGCTGCCCTGTCCTCCTGCCCTGCTGTCGTGGGCAGTTCCCGAGAGCCTCCAACCATCAGAATTCTCCAGTCAAGGAGCTGGCTCTCATGTCTGTCCTCATCAGATGCACCAAACTCCTGAACCCAAGTATTTGAGAGTCCTAAGAACCCCCCTGCTCCCTGAGCAGCACAGGGAGGGCTGCAGGCCCGGCTGGGAGTGGAAGTGTCCTCTCTTCTTCCTGCAGGAGGCCCCTGGTCTCCTCAGGGGGTTTTGTTGAACCCCTTTCTTGGCTTTTTTGGTTGTTTCTTTCTTTTTTTTTTTTGATAGAGTTCTATACACCCTTTAATTTTTCCGTGTCCGGCAACGGATCGCAACCCTCAGTGTTGCCCCCGTACCGGACCGGAGACCGGCAACGGGATTGCAACCCTCGGTGCTGCGCCCGCACCTCGCTCAGCCAGTGACTGGGAACCGGTCTGTATGTGGGATCCAAACCCTCGGGCGGGAGCGCCGCTGCGCTTCCCAAGCGGCGCACTATCCAGTGCACCACCGGGCCGGCCCCTTTTTTGTTTGTTTTGTTTTTTGTTTTTGGTGCTGGCCAGTACAGGGATCCGAACCCTCGACCTTGGTGTTATCAGCATCACGCTCTAACCAACTGAGCTAACTGGCCAGCCCTGGAACTCCTCGCTTGGATGGTATTGGAGAGAGGCCCACCCATTCCCTCTCCAGACAGTGGGGTGCATGCTGCTGCCTGCTCCTGTACCTTCCCTTTAAAGGTTTTTTCACCACACATCCCCCAAATCTCCAGCCTCCTCGTGTGTGAGCTGCAGGGAAGACGTCTGACCATCTCTTAGCCAGTCCTGAGCCCTTCACTCTGGAACGTGAGGATACCTATCGTCCACTGTCTTCACATTTGGGGGCCTCAGCTGAAATCGCAAGACCTCAAGAAAGCTCTGAGATTCTCTGAATCCATTATTCTTTTTTTTTTTTTTTTTAAAGATGACCGGTAAGGGGATCTTAACCCTTGACTTAGTGTTGTCAGCATCACGCTCTCCCAAGTGAGCCACGGGCAGGCCCTCTGAATCCATTATTCTAAGATTATTCCAAGGCCTGGAGCATTTCCACCCTTGGCCTGGTGTAGTTGGTCTAGCAACCTTCAGTTAAACTTTGTGGAGGGAATTTTTGGGACTCTAGATGAACCGGAGTCAGGAGGTAAATGGGACCACTGACTCAGAACTCATAAACTAAAGTTAAGGGCCGGCCCATGGCTCACTTGGGAGAGTGTGGTGCTGATAACACCAAGGCCACGGGTTTGGATCCCTATATAGGGATGGCCGGTTAGCTCACTGGCTGAGCGTGGTGCTGACAACACCAAGCCAAGGGTTGAGATCCCCTTACCGGTCATCTTTTAAGAAAAATAAATAATTAATTAATTAATAAAAAAAATAATAAAGTTAATATGTACCTAAAGAATTAGGAAGGTAAGTCTGTTTGTACAAAAGCACGTGAATCCCACCTATCAAGTGGATCATGGTTAGTTTGCTAGACACAAGCGACCTCTGGATTGCCCAGGCATTGCTTCTTTCCAGTGGGGACAGGTTGGCTCCCTGATCGGCAAGAGAGGTCTGGGGGTGGGCAGTGGTCCCTGGGAAAGGAAGGGCCAGTCTGGCCTAAGTCCTCCCATCTGATTGCAGAAGGCGCAGGTCCCAGCCCCACCCACATAGGTGAGCTGGCAGCGATGGAGGTAGAGTCTGAAAGGTTGGATCAGGAACCCTGGGAGCCAGGAGGGCAGGAAGAAGAAGAGGACGAGGAAGGAGGGCCCACCCCTACCTATCTGAGCCAGGCCACAGAGCTCATCACCCAGGCCCTGCAGGACGAGAAGGCAGGCGCCTACCCTGCTGCACTCCAGGGCTACCGAGACGGTGTGCACATCTTGCTTCAGGGAGTGCCCAGTGAGTAGGGACTGGAGGGTGGAGGTTCAGGCCTGGGGTCCCAGATGGTGCAGTGTAGAGGGAGTGAAAAACACACAATTCAAGGATTAGGAGTCGTTGCTCCTCACTGCCAGCTCTGTAACCTTTTTTATTTTTAACCTCTCATTGCTTCATTTTTTTTATTTGTAAGATGGGGAGAATAGGTGCTGGGTCCCAGGGAAGAGGGAAAAGCACATGATGACGCTCTGTGAACTGTAAGGGGCTAGACTGAGGCTGTGAAGGCAACGGTCTCTACCCGCAGGTGACCCATCCGCTGCCCGCCGGGAGGGTGTGAAGAGGAAGGCAGCAGAGTACCTGAAGCGGGCAGAGGAGATCCTGCGCCTGCACATGTCCCAAATCCCTCCCTGACAGGAAGTAGACCTTCCCCAGGACTCCAGCAGCACTGCCAGCCACCCCCTTCTGCCCCAGGGCCTGGCCCTTCTCCTGGCCTTAGAACCCCAGAGGTTATTTCTGTATGTAACTGGACCAAGAATGAGAAAAATATTGAATTCTCAGCTCCCAACTACACCTGCCACCTTGGAATGGGGACTCACACTTCTGATCCTGCCTGTCTCTGTCCCCTGATGTGTGAGCAGCAGCTCTGGTCACTAAACTATCAGTTTACCCATCGAGAACTGGGGTCTGCCAAGTACAGTCTGCAGCCAAATCTGGCCCCCACCGCCTTTTTTGTGAGGCCCATGAACTAGAGGGGTTTTTACGTTTTTTCAATGGCGTGGAAAAAAAAAAATTCTGTGACAGGTGAGTTATATGAAATTTAAATATCTATCAATAAAATTTTGTTGGAACACAACCAGGCTCGTTCGTTTAGTATTGTCTATGGCTGCGTTCATGCTACACCAGCAGGATCGAGTAGCTGCAGGGTTGAGTCGTTGCGATCCACAAATCCCAAAACATTTATCACGTGGCCCTTTGCAGAAAAAGTTTGCTGACCTCTGATCTAGAAAATGGCGAAAATGTTCGCCTTAGCCTCCAGGCTAACAGTGGAGAATGACAGGCCGATGGGTGAAAGAAATGACAGAGAGGAACCCGAAGCGGGGACACCCGTTTTGCTGGGAGCCCAAAGCCGGGGTCGGTGCAGCGGGCTGGAGCCCGGCGGGGCTGGGGGCGTGGCCCCGAGGCTGCCCCGCCCCTCCCCTCCCCCAAAGCCATCTGTGGCGGAAGTGACTGCCATCTCAGAACGTTAAGGGGGCCGCGGGGCTGAGCGCGGCGCATCGTTGGGGGCGTTATCAGGGCCTGAGCGCGCGGAACAGCGGTGGCGTCGCTGGACTACAACGCTCGGGAGGCCGGATCGACGGGACGCGGTGAGAGGGAGGAGGCGGGCGGGGCCCCACGAACGAGCCCGGACGCTTGGCCGGGGCGCCGGAGACCAGGATGGGGAGGCGGG